TTCTGAATTCTGATGTCGTTGACCCCTTTCTAGGTTCTTTTTCCTTCGAGACCAATTTCTCAGTTTTAGGACAACAGAATGCCCTTCCACTTACCAACTCATCTGCCTGAAGCCGTTAGCCAGTAAATGATGCATAGATGATCCTGGCAAATATTCGGAGTTCAGAGCCTCGTTAGTTATTTAGTAGGATGTACCAGATGACCATGATCTAGAGTAGATCATCATATGAGCAGATGAGGTTGACATTTAAGTAGGAGGAGCTATATGTTGCGTATAACTATTCCATTACATCCCATAATATCTATAGTCTTACGTAATTTTGGCTGCGGTTCAAATCAAATAACAATAGAGGCGATACCTTATTGAATTAAGTGGAAGAGAAGAATCCATTTGCGATGAACTCGTTCTTTAATAAAAAAAGCCCAAAGTAATGTCCAAAACCCAATGTATTTCACAATAAACGAGAGAATTATTAGAAACACGAATAACAAAACAATTCACTTACAAGAGACCATACATGTATAAACAAAACTATCAAAAAAAAAAGATACAAAGCCCATCATATAAAAGAATTTAAATATGGAATTGTGGTTGATTTGCAATAAAAATTCCCATAATAAAATTTTACAAGAGAATAGCTTCAGAATAACAAATACTTATCCACAGATTTTGAGAAAGCTATCACCTGTTTAGATAGTTGAACAGTTATGAAGATTTAGGCTAGAGCCTGTCAGTCCTCAAAGTTTGAATATCTTTTCAACATCTCAGCTAAGTTACCCATAATAAAAGTTATATCTTCTTTTTTATTCATTAAGTAAATTAATCAACAACTCATAGAATTTCTCTAACTCTTCTTTTGATTTATCTCGGATGGGGACTCGGATGGGGGTTTTACACTTGTAAAACATTTAATTTGACCGGGGTAGTATTCAGTTGGATTATTATCAATCTTTCAGAAACAGCTATACCTAACATTTGAAACATATTAACGTTATTGAGGATATACGCTTATTCCAACCCCATCCATATGTTATTCGTAAAGAAAACCAAAAGAAACAACAAGAACAAGTAGAATGAATAATTCAACTAAACATCTTCTCCATGAAAAAGAAACACATGAAAAATGAAATCATACCAATTACACAACAGTATTACTTCGATCTGTATAAAAAAACAATCACTAACAAGATATTTTTCAAAAATGAATATAAAAATTAAAATAAAAAATATAAACTCTGAGCTACAACCGAAGGTCAGTAGATCAGAAATAAAAGAAAGCACTTGAAGAAATGAAAAATAATAAACATCAGGAACAGATGATATTAGAGTAGAAATGATTTAAAACGGTGGGAAAGTTACAAGAGAAATTTTGCATATTCTTCTTCCATTTGAAGAAAACATTAAGCAAAAGAAATACTCCCAGTAGCTGAAATAAAGCAAGCACGCTAGTATTATTCAAAAATGGATACAAAAAAACTAAGTATTTCAAAAAGATATTGGACTGCATAAAGTACATGGCAGTAAATCCATCACCGTCACTACAAAAGAAAGGATAAGACAATCAAACGAGATTGACGTGGCCTTCATTTGGTAAACTTTACTACAGATTGAAAAATAAAAAGTATCAATAATATCTAAAACTTAAACTGTTGAACCAGTGCATTTTTACATTTTTTGCATACGAATGTCAAACATAGCGAACACGCAAAGAGCAATGGAAAGACACATGATCAACATATGACTATGAGATAGAAAGAGGAATACCTGGATAAGAAACGTGAAAACAAGTAAAAGTTTATGACTTACTTTATTTTATTCATTTTATCTATTTTCGAGTTTGTTTTAATATTTTAGTATTTTCCAAACTGTGTCATATTAATTTTTAATTGACTAAGGGTCATATAAAGGTCATAGGTCCTTTAGCCTCTTTTATATTTCTCCAAGTTGCCATACAGCAAGGACACATAAAAGACAAAAAAGGAGTACTACTAGTAGATTTACCAGAAAAGTTAAGGCGATGGGAGGAGTACGTTAGAGAACTTTTCCAAGATGAAAGAGGTGAAATGCAGAAAATACAAGAATTAAATCCTTTAGAGATACAGAAGATCACGATAGATGAAATCAAATATGCCATCAAAAACTCTAAAGACAATAAGGCAGCTGGATTAGATGAAATACCAGTAGAACTCTTAAAACTAGTGGAAGAGGACAACTTGGAAGTATTGGCAGATTTATTCAACACGGTGTACGATACGGGAATAATACCACAGGAGTGGCTAAAGTCAGCATTTATAACCATCCCAAAAAACAAGCAGCAAAAGAGTGCTCTGATTATCGAACACTGAGTCTCATGAGTCATACTTTAAAAGTTCGAAAAGAGAATATACGAAAGGCTAGAGGAGGATATTAGCGAGACGCAGTTCGGGTTCCGAAATGGAATGGGTACTCGAGAAGGACTATTTGCCATCAACATATTAATTCAGCGATGTCGGGATGTAAATGTTGATCTATACTTGTGCTTCGTTGACTACGAAAATGCTTTCGATAAAGTAAGACATGAAAAACTAATATCAATACTTATGAACAAGCGCATTGACAGTAAAATCATAAATATAGTGCAAACATTATATTGGAACCAAAGTGCCATAGTTCAAATTGATGGGCAACACTCAGAAGAAATGAGGATCTGTAGAGGAGTTAGACAGGGATGTGTGTTATCACCACTTTTGTTTAACTTATATTCTGAAGAAATTTTCCAAATTACGCTCAATAATATCGAAGCGGGAGTCACCGTTAACGGAAAATTAATTAATAATTTAAGATATGCAGACGACACTGTGATCATAGCAACGAGTATAGAGGATCTACAACATCCTATCGAAAGCTTGAGTATAAATAGTGCTGAGATGGGAATTACTATAAACGCTAAAAAAACGAAGTACATGCTGATTACAAAAAGGCCACAAAATATACATCACCTATTGACAATAAATGGTAACGTGATAGAACAAGTAAAAAATATCAGTATTTGGGAACTTTGATTAATGAAACCAATGATCATACTGTAGAAATAAACAGACGAATAGAGATTGCCAGATCAGCATTTATACGAATGAAGCCACTCCTAACGTGCAAAAATCTAAATTTGGAGATCAGACTACGTACCATTCGCTGTTATATATTTTCAATATTATTATATGGAGCTTAGACTTGGACATTAAAAAAATGTAATTTAAAAAGAATCGAGGCCTTCGAACTCTGGTTATACCGCAGAGTATTGAAAATATCATGGACTGATAGAATTACAAATAAAGAAGTACTGGAGAGGGTTGGTAAAGAAACAGAACTAATCACCACTATACAAACCAGAAAACTGGAATACCTAGGCCACGTGATGAGGGGACCAAAATATGAAATTTTGAGACTGATAATACAGGGAAAGATTCAAGGAAGAAGATCTGTTGGCCGAAGGCAGAACTCATGGTTAAAGAATCTACGTGATTGGTACCAATGCAGATCGATTGATTTGTTTAAAGCAGTAAGTTCTAAAATAAAAATAGCCATTATAATTGCCAACCTCCGTAGGGAGACGGCACTCTAAGAAGAAGAAGTTGCCATGTCCTGGTCTATTTGAACCACCTATTTTCTGCACACTTTTTGATATCATCAAGCCATCTCTTCTGGTGTCTTCCGAAGCTACGTTGGCTATTAGGTTTGATCTTGCCGAGCCATTGTTTCAGCTATTGTTTCTAAACCAAAGATTACTGCTGGTAATATACAGGCACCGTAGAGATTGCGCCGGTTGAGGCTGGGAAAATTTTACTGACCGTGGGAAAAAGCGGCATCCTTTGATGATTGCTCCTGCTCAGGTGTTCAAGTGAAGTCACGCTCACTGTAAAATGTCTAGTCATTTCTTCTTTTCGTCTCTTTTCGTCTTTTTCTTTTCGTCAGGTTATCTGTTTTTTCTTTCGTCTCATGTGACCTTCTTCTATTCACTAATTGAACGTCCACTGCTTGACATGGGAACCCTTTATTTACCAGAACCACAGGTCCTGTTAGGCTAGATACATTATATGCTTTTAATAGGTTTATAGAATACAAACTTACTAAAGGGTACAAAGTAAGAATATGTAAAACATTAATCGTATCATTAGTTACATACCGTCAAAACGTTGAAATCAAAGAAAAAGAACAAGATAGGCTGAAAATACGGGAAGGAAAATTATATCAGAAAGGACCCATAAAAAACTACCATAACAGGCATAATAAAATATCAAATATTTAGGTCATTAGGATATATACAAATGTCATCAAAACACTTTTAGGAGGAAAGCACAAGAGAGACCCATCGAAAGATGTTGAGGTGGAAAACTTAGATGAAACAAGATATAAAAAGACCATATTGTACCTTGTATTTTCCAAATTAATCCATTATTGGTATAAATTCTATACTTTCTTAATTTATACATGTTATCTTAATTAAATTGATAGAAAATTGTCGTTCCTAACTACATATCTATTTTCAAGAGTTTGTTTATAAAGGTATGCGATACAAACATATTTTATTTGGTGCACTCGATAGTTTTCGAAAACGAGACGCTTCACAATTTAAATCTATTCGATTTATTACGAACTTTAAAAAATATTTATTAACACAGTCCCTTGATGATGATTATCTAAATTGAATTCATATAAATTGTTTGTACCATACGTCACTGATTTAATCACAAACAAATAGTAAATACCACATTTTGCAACAATCAACTAAATCTCACCTTCTTCATCCAATTATATCTCTAAAATCGATCAATTATTAGCACTGATCCACCTTGCATTAAATAAAAAAATAATTTAATATCTCGCATTTTGTTTCAATATTTCTCCGCCCCGAGGCAATCCCAAATGTTTCTGCAATACATTTTTAAATAGTCGTATAGGGGGAACCAGCTATATAAGCATCGGGTCGAATTTTTTTAAGCATCACAACAATTTGTGTTGATCCAAATATTAGTTTTTGTTCATCATGAGACAAGTAAGGATAAATATTAGTATTTTTGTGATTTCTAGGGTGGAGACTTCGCGATAATTGTAATAGTGATTCAAGTGAGACTTTGCGGTGATTCTTTTTGCTATACAATAATGTTTAATGGAAACTCTTCAATTAACAGCAAGATTATTTTTATTTAAAATCGATTAAATTTTAGATAAATGCGTTAAATATATTCGATTATCAAAACTGATAATTTATGTGCAACTAATTCATTTCAGTCTGTAATTATCAAAAAATATCAAAGTATATTCTGATATTGTAATTAATTTTTAATTTTTTGATACTCAAATAAATTTTATTTTACTTTGGGTTTTAAAACAATTTTTAGCAAAAAGAAAATTTTAAACTTAACATTTTTATATATATATTTTTTTCATTATTTTCTAATTCTAGTTTGTTATTTCTCTTAATGCATGATCAGTTTTTCTAATGGGTATTTGTTAAATTTTTTGAAGAGTTTGAAATACATTTTGAATTTAATATTTTAAAACTGTGTATAATGTCAAGTGTGTTTATTTTAATTTATTTTATACAATCTTTTTCATTTTAATATAATCAAAATCGTTAATAGTCATAATTTCAGTCATGATCTTAATCCCAGCTCCTTTTTGTTGATTTTACTATTTTCTCTATTTAAATAATTTTAGTAAATTAATTTAGTAATTATTTTTTAGTCAATTTTTTATTTTATACAATTGTCAAGTTTATCATGCAAGTCTCTTGCTAACTTGCCAAGTCTAATTTGATTATTTTCTCCAAAATATCAGCTATCTTGTTGTTGTTTTAAATTGTTAATTAATTTTTTCTGATACATATTCTTTAGTATGATCTTCTTTTAAAACAGTTATCAATTTTATTCTAACCTAAGATTAAGAAATGATAATGTTTTAAAGTTTGTCAAATGTACACTAAAATGTACAATTTTAAGCATTATACACTATTTTTAGGACTTCTTTGGTAAATTATTATTTACTTTTTTCCGAACAGAGTATTTGTTCCAATAAACCGGAATACCTTTATTTAGGGCTCAACTATTCTATCTTTTTCATTTTAATATAATCAAAATCGTTAATAGCCATAATTTCAGTCATGATCTTAATCTCAGCTCCTTTTTGTTGATTTTACTATTTTCTCTATTTAATTAATTTTAGTAAATTAATTTAGTAATTCTTTTTTAGTCAATTTGTTATTTTATACAATTGTCAAGTTTTATCATGCAAGTCTGTTGCTAACTTGCCAAGTCTAATTTGATTATTTTCTCCAAAATATCAGCTATTTTGTTGTTGTTCTAAATTGTTGATTAATTTTTTCCGATACATAGTCTTCAGTATGATCTTCTTTTAAAACAGTTATCAATTTTATTCTAACCTAAGATTAAGAAATGGTAATGTTTTAAAGTTTGTCAATTGTACACTAAAGTGTACAATTTTAAGCATTATACACTATTTTTAGGACTGCTTCGGTAAATTATATTTGCTTTTTTACGAACAGAGTATTTGTTCCAATAAACCGGAATAACTTTATTTAGGGCTTAACTATTCTATAAGAATTCTATTATCGCTTTCAAGTGTGTTTCCCAATTTTGTATTTGCTTCACGTTTGTTATATATATATATATATATATATATATATATATATATATATATATATATATATATATATATATTTGGCCAATGATCCTATTTTTAATTCCTTAATCATCATCATTCAATTTTAGCTTGTCCATCTCTTATTGCATCTGTGCATCTTGTGCCTTTTGCATCCAGTTCTAATGGCAACATTTTAGATTGTCAGTCCAACGTGTTGGTTGATGACCTCCGCTTCGGTAGGCATCATCTCTTGGTCTCAATTCAGTATCCGCTTTGTCTATCTGTTATCTGTCATTCGAGCTACATAAACTGACCAATTCCACTTCAGTGTTGGTATTCTTTCTTTACCGCATCAGCCACTTCTGATCTTGATCGCAGATGGTGGTTTGGGATCTTGTCTCTCAGTAAAACGAGCAACATAGTACGGTCTATCGCCCTTTGAGCCACATGGATCTTCTTTGTCACGGTCAATATTTTGGCTCCGTAAGTCAATACTGACGAAGCCTGGTAAACCCTATGCTTCTGCTTCTTCTTTTTTTATAGACATGACTATGTCTGTATAACAATGTGCCTCCAGTAACTTGTCGTTTCATTGTCTTTGTGGTCTTCCTACTGATCGTCGTCCTATTGGGGATCCGTCTCTTGCTGTCTTTACTACTCTATTTGTTATCATTCGGCTTATATGATCGTTCCAATCTACTCTTCTATTTATTACCCAGTTCTTTATGTTCTTAACCTTGCATCTACGTCATATATCTGTACTTCTAGCTCTGTCCCATAGTGTCTTACCATTAATTTTTTCAAGTGTTTTTATCTCTGCTCTTTCTAACATGCATTTTGTCCTGTCTGTGTCAGGTCTTGTTTCTGCCGCGCATTATTGGTCTGATGACTGTTTTGTAAATTCTGCCTTTCGTTTCTTTTTATTATCTGACTTTACAGCTCCAATTTACATCTTATTAAATTTGCTGTTATAACCATGCATTTTGTCATTTTTGGGGAAATTAACATGTTAAATTTTCTGGAAGTTATATTAAATTGGTGCAGCATGCGTTAAAAGTCATCTTCACTTTGAGATAGTAGTATTGCGTCGTCTGCATAGCAGATTATTTTAAGTTGTTTTTCTTCCATTTGGTATCCTTTTTTTGTTCTTTTTTTTATTATTTCATCCATAATCAGGTTGAGCAATAGAGGACTCAGGGAATCTCTCTGTCTTATTCCATTGCTCCCTTTAATAGGATCGGTTAGTTATTCTTCTACTTTTACTTTTATTGTGTTGAAAACCCTATGTGGACATACTAAATTCTTTTAGCTTTCTTTTTTCACTAATTCCGTTTACTTACAGTACTTTTATCTTCTATAAGTGTATCATTTTCTGCCTAGAAAAATATGTCAGCAGCGTTGAAAATTCTACACCAGTCTCGAATATTATATAATCATGACTATTATTTTTTTTTTCAGATACCTTTTTATCTCTATTTAATTTTAAAGTATGACCTTAGGTATTAATATCATAAACTCGTCAAAAACTGGCTCAAATATGATACTTTTTAATTTTACTTCTAGTTACCAGGTTTCTGTACCATATAAAAATACAAACATTTTATAAGTACTAATACTAAGGCTAAAATCACTTCTTCGGCTTCATTACTTTTCTCAACTTGATAAACGTTGTTTTAGCTCACCGATCTAAATTTTAATCATTTTTTGTTCAATTTAATATCAATATTGGTAACTAGATATTTAATCTTAGAAATGTTTTATTGTTTCTTCGTATAGCTGCAGATTAACAACCACTGGGTATCAACTGATTGTATTTACATGCAATCCAGATGGTAGTATAACCTCATTCATTTTGTTTAATAGATACTGAAGATCTATGAAGAGTCTGTATGGATCTGTATCGTCGGCATAACGAAGGTGTCATTGCCTTTAATATCTTTAGTTTCGTTTCCTCTAGTGATTTCGTAAACATTTTTAACTTATATGTTAAATAGTATCGATGACAAAAGGGGACCCTGGAGATCTGTTTCGAAGATATAACATGGTTCTGTCAACAAAATTGTTTTTTATTTTCATTTCTGTCATCTGATTCTAGTATAGGTTTAGGATTTGTTGTATTTTTTTAACTTCATTCTCCATTTATCAGTCCAATCTTCTTCTCCTTTAAGTGTCGTCTCCTAATTGGAGGTTGGATATCATCATCTCTATCTTTACTCTATCTACCGCTGCTCTAAAGAGCTCTACTGAACTATATCTAAACCAGTACCCTTAATTGTTCAACCATGACATTCTTTTTCTTCCTCTTCTTTTTTACCCAGATGTGTCCCAGATATTGTAACTTTCTTATGCTTATTGCATTTATTATTTCGTATATGTTGCCTTTTTATCGCAATACTTACGTGTTCGTTTTCTTTCTTTTAAGTCCGTATTGAAAACACAACATCTCAGAGCTCTTACCCTCAGTTCTAGTCTAACGTCTTTATTGCAGTAAATTGTTTTTATTTTTACAAACGAATTTTTTGCTATTTCTCTTCTGGCCCTTATGTCTGTTGTTTGGTTATTATTTTTTTAAATCCAGGTTCCCAGGTATTTGTTTTTCAACCCTTTTGATCAATATACCTACCAAACTGTATGTTTGTTTGTATATTTGTTTAATTTATTATAATCATGTATTTCGTCTATTTATATTGAATTATAGTCTATATTTTTCTCAGTAACTGTTTGTCTTGTTTAGTAGTAGTGGGATTTGTTCAGCAGATCTTGCCTTAATCACGGTGTCATCTGAATATCTTATGCTGTTAATAGTTCTTCCCTTAAATATTATTCCTTCACTTTCAGATAGTAAACTTTTTTAAAAATTGATTCACTATATACGTTAAATAGTAATGGAGACATAATATTATATCCCAGCATAAATTCTCTCCTGATTTTAATTTTTAGACTGGGTCGTTATCTATTACAATTTGTAGTTTTTAATTCCAGTAAAGGTTCGTTAGTATTCTTCTGTCCCTTTTGTAAATGTTTTTTGTCTTGTATTTATACCTCCATGTATTACTACTAAAAATAATTTGAGAACATTATTTATTAACAATATTGTTTTGTATTGACTGCAATTTTTAGTCTTTACATTTTTAGGGATAGAGAGATTAAGAAAAGGTAGAAAGTAACCATCGTTTCGGTATATGTCCTGTTTTGTATGGTGTGTTAAAAAATACTTTAATGTCCAAGGTTCATCGTTAATGCATTTTAAACTTTCTACTGGAATTTAGTCTGGACCTGTTGCTTTGCTATTTTTGCTGTTTTTTAATGCCATTTTAATTTCCTTTTTTAATATCTTTAAAATCACACAAATGTTGTCTTTCAACAAGTTTAATATTCAACACTAGTTTCGCATTTATATCTTGGACTATATCTCGTTTGTTTTTTCTATTATTGCGAGTTAATTCTTTAATTTTTTTGTGTGTGTTTTAAAACTATCAAGTCTTTTCTGGTATTCATCTATTTATGTGCATTGTTCTTTTAATTATTCTACTTTCGCTTGCTTAATTTTTTGCTTTAGTATTTTTTTCAAATAATTATAAGTAATTTCTACATAACAGGTGAATTAATGGGGTGCTTTATCGGGTTTATGAATCATAACTGTTTCTGAAACTTTCCATAGACTCTCACATATTTTCTGATGATTCAAATAGAATCTGTTCTATTTTTAATTTAATGTTACCTTTTTTTAAATTATTTAAAAATTATATAACTAATTGTCATTCAATTTACTATTTTCCTCTTGATCTTATGATCGTTTGTTTAGTTATTTTACTTCTACTTCATTTGCGCAGATTTTTTAACGTCAAATGACTAGAATGACTATTATTTTTTTAAGTTTTTTTTATTTCTTATAAATTAAACTAATAAATATTATTCTTTCCGCATGTTGTGTTCGATGTAAAGAGGAATCAGCTTTTTAATAGACAGTACAACGTATTTCATGTACGTTATGCCAACTACAATACAGACGGTCTATAACAGAAGGCTTCCGAAAAAACAAAACCTTTTTTTTTTCTTTGCATTATCTGCATATAACACTATACCTTATTGTTACCGTATGTCATTCCTTCATTTGCACACTTCTTTTAAATATTATTTCTCATACACGCAGACTACATAATATCTTCGTTTAATTTTCTTTTTATGTCTCTCTCCAAATCTTAAACTAACTGAATTCTAAATTAATATTTAGTAAAGTGTTCTGCACGAAGCCATTTCGATTTCTTGATTTTAACGGTCCTTACAAAAAGTTGAAAGCTCATTCAAACAATTTACGTTTTCTCTAAATTTTCCCAACTAAAATGTTTTTTATTATTGATCTGATTTCTTTCTAATATTCAATATTTTTCTTCGAGTGATGTCTCCATGAACTCGCGACAAAATTTTCTCAGTTCTAGATAGCGCATTTTTATTTTGTCACCATAAGAATTTTTGTGTTTTAGCACTGATTTATTTATCTTGAGAGGTAATAGAATATTTTCTCTACTTTTGATTAAAATAAATTTTGGTTTTTCCTTCTCGTTTCGTGAGCTGCGATGACTGTGTCATTTTTTGGATGGTATTAACTTTTAGCGTGCAGCCTTGTTTTATTCATATTCTTATGTTTTTGCTGTTGGAAACCTGGTTGATAATAATTATAATCCTAATGTTTTGTTGTCAGTTGTGTTTTATAATCTTCAAGCTTTATCATCCATTTCATATTACCGATTAGGTTTTAAGTAGTAGCTGATTTGGATTGTTGGGTTTTGCAGTCCACTAACAACCAAGTATTTAAAAAAATCGACCCTTTGGAATTTATTTTGTCTGATCTATTTATTTCTCTTCTTCTATTTACATCGTCTTTTATACTTATTAAGAATTTTGATTTGTTCTTATTGATTATTAGTCCTCTGTTGATTGTGTTCTAAATCCCTGTTAATAGTGTAATATATTTTTTTAGTACGTAGGTAATAATTTAATCAGTTTGTTAATATTGTAGTCAGGATCTTATACGTTGTATTCAGTAAGGTAATCGTAAACGTAATAGTTGTTGCACTTAGTTGGATCCACCTTCTAAAAATTTTTGTGAATACTTTTTCGTAATTTTGACCATAAGTTTGTACATCTGTGACATCTATGAATTCTGGATTGGTAGGTGCATCTTTCTCTGCATCTTTCTTCTCTTCTTCTTCTTTTTCTTCTTTCTCTTTATAAGTAATTCTGCTTGTTCATTGGCGGATTAATACCTCTATGGAAGGTTGTCACTCCATCTTTTGCGCGGTGGTCCGATACTTCTTCTGTCGATTGGTGACATCCCTTGCTATTTTGACGACAAGGATCTCGCCTATTTTGCTTATGTGGTTATTGCATTATTTTTTCCATTTAGGTCCATTCATTTATACCCTATATATTTCGAAATAATCTCAGCGTATTTCTTTTAATTCTTCTCAGTACTCTCATCTCTGTCGTTTAAAGTAACCTTTGCGTTGTGGCTGTGTCGGGTCTTGTTTTTAAGGCATTATTCTGAGGCATATGTCATTATTGGTCTTACACTGGCTTTATAAATTCTTGACTTCATCTCAGTGTTAATGTATCTTTTTCGCCATATAGTGATATTAACGCATCCTGCCATTCTCTGCATCTTTATTATCTAATATTTCTTTCTCCTCTGCGTATATCTCTTGGTTGGTTTTGTTTAGATCCGTAATAGGTTTTTCCAATCTTTTCTGTATATTTTTATAGTTGTATTTTTGGTAATGTATTGTTGTTTTATAAATATGAACAGTCTTTTGCTATTATTATTATTTATTTCTATAAAAAAGGACACAATCTCCAATGCAAAAACTGCCGTGGAATTTCTCTACTATGTACAAAATATAGTAGGGAAAGTCCTCACTTATATTATAAAACAGCGGCTCCGACCACTAGCAGAAAATATTATTGGAAAGTATCAGACAGGCTTCCGATGGAGAAGATCGACACTGGATCAAATATTTACAGTCAAACAGATCTTGAGTAAATCATGGGAACTTGACATTGATGTTTACAACGTGTTTGTAGATTTCACAACAGGCATACGACTTAGTCAAAAGGAACAAACTCTACAATATATTGGCTGAATTGACAATGTCGGACAAGCTAATTAGACTCATTAAAGCAACAATGGATAAAACTCAGGCATGTGTACAAATACAAAACCACCGAACAAACTTTTTCAAAATTTCGCAGGGATTAAAACAGGTAGATACACCGAAATACAAAGATGAGAATCTATATATAATTAATTCAAAAAATAACATATCATAGCAGTGAAGCATGGGTCCTGAAAGAAACATCCAAAAGCAAACTTGATACATTCGCAAAGTAAGTACGAAGGAGAATACTAGGACCTGTGAGAGAAAACGGAATCTTCAGAACTCGATACAACAACGAGCTTTATCAACTTTATAAGGAAGCCCCACTGTCAGACTTCATTAAAATTCAAATATTGCAATATGGATTGGAATGGACATATGATAAGAATGGGAAAGGATACGCTATCAAAAGGAGGACTGAATGCTAGAATGTAGGGAAAGAGACCGGTTGGAAAGTCAAGAAAGCACTGGGAAGATACAGTAAACAGCGACGCACAAGCCCTTTTTGGAGTCCCTGTATGGAGAAGATCAGCCACAGACAAGCAAGAGTGGAGGTAAAAATAAAGGAGGCCAAGGCTTAATTTGGGTTGTGGTGTCTTAGAAGAAGAAGATTATTTATTTCTAACTGTCGCATTTGTTTAGAGATATGGCTTTTTGCGTTACTGTCCGGTATTGTCCTAGTTGTTTCACATATATAATTTACATTTTCAAATAACCATATTTTATTACATTTAAGTTTATTCTTATTCACTTGAAACTATCAATATTCTTATACATATATTAGATCCTTGTCCATCTTTAAACACCTCTTGTTTCTTAATTTGATATTTAGCTATATGGCAGTAATTTCTTACTTTTATAATTTCTCAATATTTCGTCTTCAGGTTTATATTTATCTTTAATATCTAAAATATTTTCAAAGAAAGTCTAAGAGACCTAGCGTATTTATCTAACAAATATTGTTACCAAACGTTGTGATTATTTAATGTTATGATTATTAATTAAAACTTACTACAATAATGTGAGTCACAAATACTCTTCATTAGTATGTTTTTATAGCTCATCTCGTTCCTTTAATAACTTTTATGCTACAATTTTAAACAAATTTTAGGTTAATATTTACAATAACTCCTCATAAAAAATAAACTTCGAAAATAAAGATCATTAACTTTTTTTTCTTTCCACAGTTCGTCGTTCTCTTCGCCATCATCGGTGTCAGCTACTGTGGCCGCCTGGAAAATACCTACCTACCACCAAACCAAGGAGGGTATGACAGTGCAGCTCATGCTAGTTTCAACAAAATCTCAACTCATAGTGCCAATAGTTTCTCTTCCCAAAATAGTTTCCAACAACCCAACTTCAACAACAAATACTCTGCTCCAGCTTCTGGACCTGCTGGACCTATCAACAAAGAAGCTAATGACGTCCCTATTCTAAAGTTAGACAATAACAATGACGGAGAAACCTACAACTATGCTTTGGAAACTGGAAACGGTATCTCTGTCCAAGAACAAGGTACATAATACTAAATTAATACGTAATAGTGTATTACATTGATATTATTCTGTAAATAACAATTTTTTGTCTTTTAGGTGATGCTAGCCATGACGGAACTAACGCTCAAGGAGGATTCTCCTATACTGCTCCCGACGGTCAGCAAATCTCCATCCAATACGTAGCTGGCGAAAGCGGTTTCGTTCCTCAAGGTGCCCACATTCCCACTGCTCCTCCAGTACCAGAAGACATCCAAAAAGCCATCGAACAAAATTTGGCCGATGAAGCTAGAGGAATTGTCGATGACGGTCAATATAGAGAAGAAGGTGAATCTGGACAATACAACCACGGAGCTTATGGCGGAGGACACAACGAACAAGCTGCTGGAGCTAGCAAAAACAGTTTCAACTTCCAATCCCTTAAAAACCAATATGTCCCTCCTAGCAATAACGGCAAACAAGGGTATCACTATTAAGTACTGATTTTTGTTGTTTATTGTAAAATGTAAATAAATAAAACATATTTTTCCAATTAACTTCTTTAACTAAATATGATAACTATATAGTAGAGTAATATAAATAAAAACAAGAACAAAGATAAAAATATTCACGAAATTCTTAATAATGCTAAATATATAATATACAAAATACTTACGAACTACGTGTAATATAAAAAGAGTTTTGTGTTAAGTAACATTTTTAAGTCATCAGGTGTGCTCCAAAGCACACGTAACATATCTGAAAAATGAATGCAAGGTATATTGTATATCCACTAGCGAATGACAAATGTTTAAATATTTCATCAATATGTATAAATATTTTAGCTGCAAAAATTCACTTAAATAATATTATTATTTATAGAATACAGACTTTTTAAAATATATAAAAATTAATTTTTATCATTATTTTAATACTCTTTGTCATTTTTCTGATAGTTTATAACTTTGTAATGATACATCATTTTCATATTTTCGAAAAGACAGGAATAATTTTCTTGGGCATAATCAAGAACTATATATTCCATTTCCAGATATGAAAAGTTATTACGATCCTGCTTATTTCTTTAACCTTTTAATATTCTTCTTCCCTTAACTTCTTCTACCCCTAAGGTGTCGGATTTGTTATTGTGTTGATTTTTGTTTCTTCTAAAACTGTTTTGTTATGGCATATTTCATGTTTATGTAGTGTGTGTTTACTTATAATATATGCTTGTATATTGTGTGTTGCGAAAAACTCAGAGAGCAATGGAACGACAGATGCTGGGTATCTCACTCAAAGGCCATAACACATTCCAAGATCATAGACATTCGTAATAGAATAAAAGTAAAAGATGCTGTCGAACAGGCAGCTAAACTAAAATGGAAATGAGCTGGACATAACGAACGTCTTACGGATGGCCGATGGAATAAAGAAATCTGGAATTGGAGGCTATATGAAACCAAAAGACCACGAGGAAGATCGCAAATGCGATGGAGCGACGATATTAAAATAACTGCAGGGCCAATATGGAAACGTCTTACAAATAACAGAGATGAATGGCGAGAATTAGGAGAGGCCTATATTTGGCCTCTTTGGCTGAAACATCACAAGCAATAGAAATACGTAGAGGAGTACGACAAGGTTGCATTTTGTCACCTCTGTTATTTAATGTATATAGTGAAAGCATCTGTCAGGAAGCCCTTTTACAAGCAAACGGAGGAATCGTAATTAATGGAGAGATTGTCAATAATATTCGATGCGCGGACGACACTGTACTAGTTGCAAGAACAGTAGAAGAATTACAAAGATTACTTCCAGACATAAATATTGCTTGCAACAATTATGGTATAAATATCAATATTAAAAAAACCAAGTATATGGTCTTCAGTAAAAACATGACACAACCAGCGTATATTAGTATAAACGGCACTCAAGTAGAAAAAGTATCAAGTTACAAATACTTGGGAACTTTAATAAACGAAACTGTAGACCAAAACAATGAAATAAAAAGACGTATTGAAATTGCCAGGGCCACCTTCATAAAGATGAGAAAATTCTTCTGCAACAGAAATATAAGCATCCCTCTACGATTAAGAATGCTGAGAGGCTATGTATTTAACACCCTATTATACGGTGTAGAGGCCTGGACTCTCAAACAGAACAACATGAAAAATATTGAAAGTTTCGAGATGTGGTGCTACCGTCGAATGCTGAAGATTAGTTGGGGTGAAAGAATAACAAACTGTGAAGTAATACGAAGAATAGGAAAAGACACAGAGATTTTGTTAACGCTAAAGCGAAGAAAACTCGAATATTTTGGTCACCTGATGAGAGGACATAAATACGCATTACTTCAAAATATAATGCAGGGAAAATAGAAGGAAAACGGAATCCAGGCCGTAGAAGAATGTCATGGTTGCGGAATTTGAGAGAGTGGTTTGGCTGCACCACTAATGAACTCTTTAGGTCAGCCGTAAACAAGTCAGAATAGCCTTGATGATTTCCAATCTCCGATAGGAGTGGCACAAAAAGAAGAAGAATATTTGGCAAATCCGAATAGAGAAAAGGGCTTTAAAAAAAATATGTATTGTGTATAAATTGTAGGTGATATGCCTCCGACTTCCTATTAATCCGCTTTTTTTGGTATATTCTTGTTATTGACATTAATATTATTATAACATTATTAATTTGGCAATCAGAGCCTGCTACATTTTACTGATGCTACATATTTCTCTTCATTTAGGAGGAAGATAGCTGCTCGGTTACCATTTCTCTTTTTCATGTCGTTTTCTTTTACGATTATTGATGCATATTTCCATTGTACTCTGTGCTCGTTGTCCCAGGCATGTTTGCATATCTAAGATTTGTGGAAGTCTGTATTCGTGATGTATGTATCGTGCTTATTTATCCTTACACTTAGTGGTCTTACGGTTTCTCCTACATATTGCTGGAGATGTAGATTGTATTCATAGGATAGTTTATAGATGCAGTTCTGTAATCTTTATTGTGTGTTTGGAGAGGATAGATGTCAGTTTGATGGTAGTTTTGAAAGTTATTGTGATGTAATCCTTTTTAATTTCCTATTTTTTAATTTTTTTCTGATAAACCCTTTACATATGGTATTATTGTCATATTGGAATTTCCCCTTGTAAGTGTTTCTAGATTACTTGTAATGATTTGTTGTTTTTTATCTTCAATCTTGTGAAATTCCTTACCTGTTAATTAATGATAATGGGTAGTCGTTTTTTATCAAAACCTTTGTAAGCAGGGTTTTTCTTTTTGAAATTCATTTTCATTAGAGCAGGCACTTCGGCACGTCGCATATTGTTACACTTCTTAAAAATTAACTTTTGAACACTAACAATATTACAATACTTGTGTATAATAACTCAACGACAACTATAAACTTCAAAACTCAAAATACTACTACTGTTATAAACTGTCAAAAACAACTGTTTATTGATGTTCCAAATTTCACTGGACATTACCATTATGAATTTTCAATGTCATCTTGAATCTTCTCGAACTACTTCTTCTATTTCGCCAAGAAACTTTTTATGATGGGATAAATCTTTCGGAACTTTCGTACTACTTCCCTCTCCTTTATAGTTATTATTATATATAAAGCCTTGAATAGCTGGACTATCGGGGATCGATTGAAGCCAATAGGGTGGATAAATTCTATGGTATGGAGGTAATCTCTTGATATGAACTACCTTGGGTTTACTTTTAGCTGAAAACTGAACGCAGTAAATTAAATCGTTTATTTTCTACAGGACGGTGTATGGGGCATCCCAGTTTCGTTAAAATTTTGGACTTCTTACGCGTGGGATTGTATAATCATGCTGGGTCTCCTCTTTCGAAAATTGTACCAGTAATATGCATGTCGAGCCTAGCCTGGGCTTTATTACTCTAAAGCTTCAAACTTTTACAAGCAAATTCGTAGAATTTATCCAAATTTTCTTTAAAATTTTCAATGTACGTCAGGAATGAACGTTCTTCACAGGGAGGCAATATTGCAAAAATACGATCTTGAGAAAGCTTCATTTCTCTTTCGTTGATCATTATCGATGCAGAATAACCCGTTGAAGAGAATTTATATATATATATATATATATATATATATATATATATATATATATATATATACAAGGATTTCCACAGTTTTCACTGTATTCCTTCACTAACCGTTTTCTCCAATTTTTCCTGTTTAGCCCTTCCCCTTCCTGTAGGTTTCTTCTGCTCATTGCTTCGTCGACTTCATCCCTGAAAGATCTTCGGGGTCTGTCTCTCTTTCCTCTTCCTATCGGGCTCCACTCTGTTATTCTATTTATCCACCGATTTTGGTCTGCTCTTCTGACATGTCCGTTAACCTCTTCTGTTCGATGTAGTCTATTATGTCGGAGTTCATTTCCATTTTTCTCTTAATCTCCATGTTACTTATTTTATCTCTTCTTGTTACTCTGCAGCTTCTCCTTAAGAATTCCATCTCTGTTGCTCTTATTTTGTTTTTAGTTTTCTTTTTTATTGTCCAATTTTCACACCCATAAGTGAAGATACTTCTTGTCATAGTATTATAATATATGTTTTTCTTTGTTTTCATGCTGATGTTCTTATCCCATAGTACCGGGTTCAATTTTCGTATGCAGTCTCTTATTGGTCCTAGTCTATTTTTTATATCTTCCTCCGTTGTTCCTTTGTTTGATATTATGAAACCTAAATAATTATACTTGTCTGTTCCTTTGATTTGTTTACCTTCGTCTATTTCCAGCTGTTTTATTTCTGTACTCTCCGTTGTTAGGTATTCAGTTTTCTTTAGGTTTATTTCCATCCCATTCTTTGTATACTTCTGCTTCAGTTTTCTCATCATAAAACTGAGGTCATCCTCGTCTTTTGCGATCACTATTTGGTCGTCAGCAAAACTTAGCGTATATAGATATTCGTTCCTTACTGGTATACCCATTCCTTCGCACTTTCTTTTCCATGGTTTCAGGGTTTTTTTCCAGGAATATTTTGAACAAGGTGGGGGATGTGGAGCAACCCTGTACTAGTCTCTTTGTCGTTTTAAATGGACTGCATATTCTACTGCCCATTTTGATAGCTACTTCGTTATTCTTGTAAAATGCTTGTACCGCGTTTATTAATCTTCGTGGAACTTCGATGTCTTCCATTGCTTCCCATAGCTTGGTTCTAGGTATTGAGTCATATGCCTTCTTAAGGTCAACAAAATTGAGATGGACGGATCTATGTTTGGCCATTCTTTTTTCTATTAGTTGTTCGACCGTGTAAATGTGATCTAAGCATGCTTTCCCCGCTGTGAAACCTGCCTGGTCTTCTCCGATTTTATCTTGTATATATATTTCTAATTTTTCCTTTATGGTCTTTCCATACAGTCTGCCTATAGACGATATAATGCTGATTCCCCGATAGTTTTCGCAGTTTTTTTTTATTTCCTTTCTTGTATATTGATGTCATATATGCTTGGGTCCATTCTTCCGGTAAGTCTTCTCCATTCAGTGCTCTCTCTCAAACATTTTGTGTATCATACGG